GTAAACTCTTACATATACCCAGTGAAGTGCCTAGCCTTAGGTGATTCATAGAGATGAAACAAATCCTCCTACATATGTTGTATCTGTTTATCTGCAGTCTTCTCTTCTCTATAGCCGTTCAGAGTCCAGAATATATAATGTTTGTCTGAGCTTTCAGATAACAGGGGGCGGGGAGCTGAAATTACACACTGCAGAACTCAGTGAGGAGAGCTCTGATAGATGATTTCAGGGAAACGACACACTCCCCTTCACACAGCTCACCGGAACAGAACTGAGGCTGTCAATCAGACTGTCTGCTGGAAGACCTTCCCCTGATGTCAGGAAAACTTGTCAGAAGTAACTCATGCTGATAGTAGAGGAATGAAGCACCAGACTGAAATGACGTTTAGTGCTCTTAATTAAGATAAGTACACACCAGAGGAATATGCTTTGTTCATATTTCATATCTGCGTTTTACAACAACTTTAAGGAGTCTAATTGCCCATTTTAGCTCTTATTATAGAATACAAAATAATTAGTGTCTATGTTCTAGAGATAGAGAGACTTAGTAGTTGATCTTATTTCTGGCAGATCAATAGGTATTTTAGGTATTTTTCTGTTCTTTCAGGGTCTTTAAATGCAGAAAAAATAAGGAATGTTTCAATGTCTCATGTGCATGTATTGCAGATATGTATTGCATATATTTACTTTTGGCAATTTCTCTTAAAACTGCGAGTGGCGCAAAAGTAATCAGTGAATCAGTGAAATATCTTTGTACAGCTGCACTCAAAAATGCACCCAAAAAACAAATGTGTAAATAATACTTAGACTACATATGTTGTGCTGTATCAAACAATAAAAAATGCACAACCAATGAATCATAAATACATGAATTAAGTCCTCTGTGAATTAAAATTAATATATCATTGAGTCCATATGTTCCAATATAAATAAAATTCATCAATGAAAGTGTCCAAAATCAAACAAATTCAAATAAACATGCTCCCAGTGAGTTTCACAACCATTCATGAGAATCTTAACAGACTAACAGACCCCAAATTATAGGAGGTCTTAATAGCACATGGTACACCAAGGGTTAACCCAGTCACTCAGATCACACCACCTGGAATGGATCCTGCACATGGATGGAAGCCTCAGAGCCTCAGGGATTGGTACATCAGAGGTTAACTCAGTCACTCAGGTCACACCACTCTGAATGTATCCTGCACATGGACAGATGGATGGGAAGCTCAAAGCTTACCAGCAGGAAAGATAGCTCAGCATGGGAAGAGAGATCACAAAGACTCCATAGTGTAAAACTTCCAAAATATTTTATTTAATCAAAGAAATGTACTCACAAGATGAGTTCGGATAAAACTCTAGTAAGGACACAGAACATGCCGCCAGCCAATCAGGCAGTGTGATGGCAACAGCATAAACCCCAGCCCTGATGTGTTTCCTCCACAGAGGCATTCTCAAGGGGACCAATGGGCTCTGCTGATGGATCACTTTATATACAAATGCTGAATCTCTGAAAGCTGCTGAGATGCCAAACCCAGCTTATTACCCACAATTCAAATAGCAACTTGTCTTTAAAATGAATATTAAAAGGCACTTTTTGGGTAACCCCATCACTAGAGATGGGTTAAAGAAAAAAACTCTAACGTTGATGAGGGAATAGTACATATGGATTTATATAATGTGTCTCTATTTAATCCACCAGGGAGTTTACCTTTAGAAAAATCAGACAGTTTAGGAGAGATGAATAGAACCCTGAATGATAAAGATACTTAATATATGTTAAAGAGGGATCCTACACAAAATTTATAAAAGAGCTGGATAAAGTGGTAAACAAAGCTTCACTGATGGAGTGTTAAATATAAAAGAGAAGACATTTTTGATTCCTTTAGCCTCACGGGTTCCAGTGATTTATTGTTCTCACAAAATTCATAAATCACTTGAAAACCCACCTGGCCGCGCTATAGTAAGCGAGATTAATTGATTACCTGCAAAAGCAAGTAAATTTATTGATTATTTTCTTCAGAAAACTCCTGGTTATGTAAAAGACACAAAGGATATTATAAACATGCTGAGAATTGTTACGGTGGGTGATAATCATAACAAAGGGTTAGACGTGGTTAAACATCATTTTGAAAATAGATAGTACCCTATGTGCAAAACAGAAGAGTTTCATTATAGATCTTTTGGTATTCTGTATGACACACAATTATTTTTGGCATAATAATGTACATTACTTACAAAAAGCCATATTGGCCAATGTATTTATGGCCACTGGTAGGAAGAAGCCATCTTTAAATGTTCCAGACCAGAGATTCTAGTCTGGAGACGCTTCATTGATTCTGCATTTATGGTCTGGAGAGGAAGTTTGGAATTCCTATTGAAATTTATGGCCCACTTTAATGACAATAATTTGAGCATTAAGTGGTCATATAAGGTAGAATGTGATTAAATTAATTTCTTAGACCTCATTATTAATAAAAGAGATGGATGTTTGTACATAAGGACATTTAAAAAAAAAAACTGACAAAAATGGGTATATACCCAAAAATAGTTGTCATTATCCCCCTTGGCTACATGGAATTCCTAAGGGCAATTCATACGTTTGAGATGAAATTGTTCAGAGGCTGAAGATTTCCAGAATCAAGCCAGTATGATAAAAAAATAGTTTTTGAGGCAGAAGGTACAGTAAAGGAGAATTAGAGGACAATATCACACCTGTACTGGGATATGACTATAACTTTTTTTAAAGGACAAGGAGAAGAATAAAAAGAGGACACATTTCAATGGTTTATTTGCACTACATTTTCGAAATAGTATTTTGCAGTTAATAAATTATTACAAAAACACTGGAGTATTCTAAAAAACAGCAAGGTCTTGTGGTGGAAGATACCACAAACCAGTGGTCATTTTTAAAAAAGCCCCAAATCCTAGGAATTATATAGCTCCTAATGTTTTTGAGAAACCAAAACATTTAAGCATTTTTGGAGGCCTAAAGGGATTTTTTTTCCCTGTTGCAAATATAACTTTTGTAAATTCATTGGCTGTAATATTGTTAGAACCTACAATGTTTACATCTAGTAATACTAGCAGAACATATAAAATCTCACAGTTTGTGACATGCTCCAGCACCCATGTAGTTTTTATGTCCAGCAGTGCCCATGCAGGTTGCAGTATGCGGGGAGGACCATGCGGATAAAAATCGGGTAAGGGTTAATGAACATTTAAACAACATTAGGAAAGGTCTCCATGGGCATAGCCTACCTAGACACTATGCTATCTGTCATGAAAAAATCCTCTGGTATGAAAGTAGTAGGAATAGATAGGACCTAATCCCATTGGTGTGTGAGCAATATGACACGAGAGAATTCCAAGACGGAAATCAAGTGGATTTTTGATTTAAGATCCTATACCCCATATGCACTTAATATCAACTGGGACCTAAATTGTTTTTATTGATGATAGTTGATTAATCTAACTTCATTTATTAGCTGTATTTTTTATAAAAGATGTTTACATTTTTTAAAAATTGTTACATTTATTTGGCCAGTTATATGCAATATACATTGTGAGGAAAGTTGCTGAGACATCAAATTATGCAGTTTTTATCAAGTGATTGTATTCTGCATTTGGCCCACTAGATGGAGCCATGGTTGAATTTATTTTCATTAATTATTTATTTTTGTATTTTTGATAATTTTTTACTTTATTTATGGAATTTGAAATGTTATATTTAATGCAAGATTAAATGTCCATTTTTACTATTTGAATTGCTGAGTCTGACATCTGAGCAGCTTTCAGAGATACTGGCATTTGTATGGAAAGATATCCATCAACAGCACCCATTAGTCTCCTTGAGAATGTCTTTGCGGATGAAACACATCGGTGGTGGAGCTTATGCCGATGTCATCACACTGCCTGACCGCAGAGTTCTGTGTCTTACTAGCATTTTATTCTTAACTCATCCTGTGAGTATATTCCTTTGATTAAATAAAAAAATCTGGTGGTTTTACACCATGGAGGCTTTGTGATCTCTCTTCCTGGTGCTGAGCCATCTTTCCTGCTGTTGAGCTTTGGGGTTCCCATCCATCCCTTTGTAGGATCCATTCTGAGTGGTGTGACCTGAGTGACTGAGGTAACCTCTGATGTACCAATCCCTGAGACTCTGAGGCTTCCATCCATGTGCAGGATCCATTCCAGGTGGTGTGATCTGAGTGGTTGGTTAACCCTAAGTGTACCAAGCGCAATTAAGACCTCCTATAATTTGGGGTCTCTTATTCTGGTAAGAGGCTGAAATTCTCATGAATGGTGGTGAAACTCACTGGGAGCATGTTTATTTGAATTTACTTGATTTCGGACACTTTCATTAGTGAATTTTATTTATATTGGAACCAGGGGTGGACTGACCATTCAGATACTCAGGCACTGCCCGAGGGCCCGGGGTACGTAGGGGGCCCCATGAGATGCCCCTGGTACCTTTCATAGGCTTTTTTGGGTGTGTGTTTTGAGTGTGGGCGAGGACACAGGGGCCCCATGATCCCCTACTGCCCGGGGGGCCCCATGAGTTGTCAGTCCGCCCCTGATTGGAACACATGGACTCACTGATATATTAATTTTAAGGAAAAGAGGACTTAATTATTTATTCTTGATTCATTGTTTGTGCACTTTATTGTTTGATACAGTGCAACATATGTAGTCCATGTACATATTTTCTTTTGCCCTGGCATACATTTGAAAGTTTCAATAAAACATTAGTTGGAGGATGAAGGGCTTATTCACATCTATGAGTATGGTTTCCTGTGCACACATACAGTAGGTGTGAATGAACCCTTTAAAGTGAAGGGAGACTTTGTTGCAACATTGTAAAGCAAGAATTGTTGGGCTAGTATTTACAGTGCATATAATAGAAAACCTATGTGAACAATTTAACATATTACAATATTGTCATGACTGAGATGGTATTTAAAATGACCGTGAGTCTTCAAAATGTTCTTGCTTTGTAGGACCTTGCCGCATATCTCAAGAAAAAGTGGATGAGAACTTTTTGGAGCTTAATGCAATTGATGACGATAAAGTTTATTTTGAGGATGGAGAAAATATTCACTTTGTATGCAAACCAGGATATTCTTCCGAATCTGATCTCAAGGGATTATGTATTAAGCAAGATATTTTATATCCTCTATGTCATAAAACAGTTACTGCAAGCAGTGATGCAAAGTAATGGAAAAAGTAAATTTTTGGTAAGAAATAACTCTAGGAAGCACTATTTATAGCTAAATTGTCCTTTTTAACTTACAATATTTGTTTCTACAATTTTAGAAAAGCAGTGGTTCTTTCTGTAACAGTCACTGCCTCAAAGGTTCACATGGCTGTTAGATAAAAGGATAGCTCAGATTGCTTCGTACCTCCTGACATTCTGAGACAAGAAAAGGAACAGCTTTTAGGAAACACTATATGAGTAAACACACATACGAACATGAAAAAATAAATACACAAAGAGTGATTTTTTTTTCTATATCCATCATTTTTCATGACTAATTTTCCTTTAGCTTAGGTTGACACATGCAGTATGTGGTACAAAATCGCTTTGATTTTAGTGAGATATAACGTAGCAATGATGGTGCAAATTACATGCAATTCTCCTTGAACAGCACAATGCATTTTTCATCCTCTACCTTTCACTTGATTCAGCTTCATTCAGTGTGAATTTGAAACGTACTGCTCCAGACTCGCACATGACCCTTTATCAAAAATGGACAGCAGATGGAATGCATATATCTAAACATCCTCCATAGGAATACATTGCTTTTCTTTGGTCATGTGAGCCTGTAAGCTCAAAATGCATGAAAAACCGCACATATGTCAACCAGGGCTTATACTGATTGCATTATTTTAAATAGATGTCTACACATTAGAGAAGAAAGAGGGACAATTAAAAAAAGGAAAGGAGGGACATCGTGAATTGGTTCCAAATAAAGGGCAGACCCAACAAATGAGGGACGTTTGGGAGTTATTTATCCAGCATTTCTATGTAGCTTTCTCTCAGATCTTCATTGCTGGAAGATCTGAGCCATCAAAAGAAACCCTGCACCTCCTGAGCTTCTACCCTTCTGCCAGTAGATGGTTGATGATGTAAGCAGATAAGGACTACTGACATCATTTTGACTTTCCTGATCTGCATTTCTGTTCTGGTTCAATGACTCAGAATGCACTGAAGCCAAAGAATCACTACAGCAGCCTGTCAACTAGCATTGCCAGGAGGTTAGCATTGATCATTTTCATTTTGTGTGTCAATTAAAACAGTTTACTTAAATAGACTTTAGGTGTTCTGCCTGAAGTTCTGCTTTTAGTGAGATATATCTTGCCCTATGTTACAAATAATTTTTCAAAATGTAAAATTAAAGAGGAGAGTGTTTAGAAATACAATGTACACATCGACATGCATGATAGACAGACAATATAAAAATACTACAATAGTACACAGAATTACAATTACAACTGTTAACCAAAATGACACCACATGCAATCCACAAGTAATAAATGTTTTAAAAATCTTGAAAGGAGAGAGAAAAGATGGAGACTATGCAACTATCGATATACTGTATGTTATTATGTGAGATGAGACATAGGAGAGAACCAACACTCAGCATTAGTAAAAATCGTTATTGCCAACCACAGTGACCAAGTGATTTTTAAAGAGCTACTGTCAGTAAATCAATCCAAGGTGTCCATTAAATAAAATGTTATGAAAATACCTTTTACATTATATTTCTTATAGACTCGCACTATAACCTTCACCTAACCCTAAGCAGCTGGCATTTAAAGTGAAAAAAAAAATTACCCAACAAAATGTGTATTTGTGAAATATGCCACACTAAATGAAAATAAATCAGTCCTATAGAGCAGTGGTGGGCAACCTTTTTTTTCAACTGAGCCAAATCTCGCCAAAACCATGATTGAAATTTATTTTGAGAGCCACATTTTTAAAACTGAAAATACATCTCCCATATAGTAATTCATCCCCCATAGCAATTCATCCCCCATATAGTAATTCAAAGTGTAAATCCCCCATAGTAATTCATCCCCCATATAGTAATTCATCCCCCATCGTAATTTCCCCCATAGTAACATCCCCCCCATATAGTAATTCATCCTCCATATAGTAATTCATCCCCCATATAGTAATTCATCCCCCATAGTAATTCATCCCCCATATAGTAATTCATCCCCAAGTAATTCATCCCCCATATAGTAATTCATCCCCCATAGCAATTCATCCCCCGTATAGTATTTCATCCCTCGTATAGTATTTCATCCGCCGTATAGTATTTCATCCCCCATATAGTATTTCATCCCTCATATAGTATTTCATCCCTCATATAGTATTTCATCCCATATAGTATTTCATCCCTCATATAGTAATTCATCCCTCATATAGTATTTCATCCCTCATATAGTATTTCATCCCCCCATATAGTATTTCATCCCTCATATAGTATTTCATCCCCCATATATATTTCATCCCTCATATAGTATTTCATCCCCCCATATAGTATTTCATCCCTCATATAGTATTTCATCCCCCCCATATAGTAATTCATCCCTCATATAGTATTTCATCCCTCATATAGTAATTCATCCCTCATATAGTAATTCATCCCTCATATAGTAATTATCCCTCATATAGTATTTCATTCCTCATATAGTATTTCATCCCCCCATATGTATTTCATCCCCCCATATAGTATTTCATCCCTCATATAGTATTTCATCCCCCCATATAGTATTTCATCCCTCATATAGTATTTCATCCCCCCATATAATTTCATCCCTCATATAGTATTTCATCCCCCCATATAGTAATTCATCCCTCATATAGTAATTCATCCCATATAGTAATTCATCCCTCATATAGTAATTCATCCCCCCATATAGTATTTCATCCCCCCATATAGTATTTCATCCCCCCATATAGTATTTCATCCCTCATATAGTATTTCATCCCCCCATATAGTATTTCATCCCTCATATAGTATTTCATCCCTCATATAGTATTTCATCCCTCATAAAGTATTTCATCCCTCATAAAGTATTTCATCCCCCATATAGTAATTCATCCCTCATATAGTAATTCATCCCTCATATAGTATTTCATCCCCCATATAGTATTTCATCCCCCATATAGTAATTCATCCCCCATATAGTAATTCATCCCTCATATAGTAATTCATCCCTCATATAGTATTTCATCCCTCATATAGTAATTCATCCCCCACAGTACTATTCCCCCCCCCCCCCCCCTTCTAGTAAGCCAAGTCCCCCGTGTCAATTCACTTACCTTTTGCGTTCCTCTCGCTGTCTTCCCGCACCGTTCGGGTCTTCAGGGCGGACTGTGAGAGGAGCCTAGCTCCCCTCCCCTCACGTTCGGCACGCTGCCCCGCCTACACACATCCTGACAGCCACATCCGCGGGCCGGATTAAAAGGTCCGCGCGGACTTTTGGGGCTGCCAACCGAGAGGAGGCAGGGGGGAGGTGCCGACCGAGAGGAGGGAGGGGAGCAGGCGCCCGGCACACAGAAGAGCCGCATTAGAGTGGGTAAAGAGCCGCATGTGGCTCGCGAGCCGCGGCTTGCCGACCACTGCTATAGAGAATATGATTTAACGCACTAGATAGAATGTATGCAAATAAATGTATTTATTTGTATTTAGCACAACATATTTCACAAATACACCTTTCAGAGTATACATTATTTCCTCATGTTGCATAAGCTTTTTTACAGACTTTTTTTTACCTGTCAAACACACTCAGATCGAGAGGATCAGCAGTGCCCGCTGCACTTGTTAATGAGCCCTTGCAGTCGGCAGCGGCACCATTAGGGCTCCTTCACATGTAAATTTGGGGGGTGGTAAAACCCTGAAATTGAGTTGTGGTTTTACCACCCCCATTCCCTACCCCCTTTAACTGCTGAGGCAGCAGCCAAAGGCGTATACATGCTGCAGCAGGAATTAAACCCTTTTGCTTTTGGTGGGTGCTACCACCTGCCATTCACAACCACTTTAAGTAAATGGGGCCACTCTGCAAGCACCTCACAGCTGCATGCTTCTGCTGGGTCCAAGGGGTCAAAGCAGGTAGTGAGAAAGCAACATAACATTGCCTGCTTTAACCCCTTGTTTGCTGTACTGCACAAGGTTGCAGGACATTGCAGAGTGGCCATATTCACTTGAATGGGTCATGCTTGGCAGTTGCTACACCCACCAACCATGACAGGGCATATAACTCCTGCTGCGGCTGTGACATGTGTACAACCCTAGCCACTGCAGCTAAAGAGGGTGCGGTTGAGGCGGGGGTAGTGAAAACATGTCTCAACTGTGGGATTTTACTGTCCCCATTCTACAAAGGTAAATTAACCCTTACTGTTCTGAGCCCCCTATACGGCTGCTTTCACACTGATGTGCTGAGGTTTACCTGCAAAGCGGGTGCAGTGCAGTGCTTCCCCGACTTTCCTGGGTTAGCTGCGCTTTGCCATAGACATCTATTATATTCTGCAGGTCTGGTGCACTTTCTGAAAGTGTACCAAAATTCCTGACTGAAAGAGTTTTAATACACTTTCAGAAAGTGCACCAAACCCACGTGATATTATAGAAGTCCATGGCTAAGTGCAGCTAACCTACAGGAAAGCTGGAGGTACACTACACTGCACCTGTGGTGTGGGTAAACCGTAGCACATCAGTGTGAAAGCAGACATATACTATTATGCCCAGTGTATTGCTTCACAGTGAGCTGAAGATCTCTTCTTTCCTGCTGCTGGCACCACTCTGGAGACCGCTAGCCAGGATAAGAGGTGGAGTGCAGTTGGTATCGCTCCACATGGGACAGGAGCCAGCACTACAGAGGAGGCATCGGCTCTTGCTCCCTACTATAGCTACAACTTTACAAGTAGTCCCTCTACATTGCACTCTGTTTGCTAAAAATTGTTGCCTGGAAATTATGCTTCAAGTCTTTAAGCCCAGCTCTGTGCTTCAGACATACCCCTCCCCTCCTTGAGCACCACCCCACCAACTGTGTGCATTTTATGATTTTTTTTAAATTTACACATAGATTCCCACATGTCTGCAGGCAGGTCAAGAGACAGGAGAAGTCCTCTTTGGATCTCCTTCTGGTGGTGGGTACCCTCTTCCTTCAGTATTGCAGAGAGTGGCATTGATGGAATGACCTCAGTGC